GCATCAATTCTCCTTTTATCCTCCCTAGTCATTGTCCAACTCTCTGATACATAACAAGTGATTGCGAAGACCATGGCCTGTATCAATTCTGTTACTTCTTTTTTTCTTCCATTTGCTTTAGCAAATGCTTTAACTTTCAGTAGTAAATTTTGGAGTGGCTTCTTATATTTTGATCTTTTCTTTTTTTTCTATATTTTAAATTACCTTTTGCTCTCTTCACCTAAGATATCCTTGATATCATCCCACAGCTTGTCTGGGTTTTAGTCATTAACGTTAACTACATCAGATCTCTTTTTGAGATTATCTCTAAATTCAGGTAAAATATGTTTTTCATAATGTTTTGTCAGACTAGTTTTTTTTTTAAGAAGGTCCTCTTGTCCTCCTGTGTTACCTAGCAGCTCTGCTCAAACCTGTCTGCCGTGTGTGATCCTGCTGGTACTGAACCCCTGATGGTGTAGTTCCTGGTATCAGTACCCCTACACAAGCTACTGCAGCTCAGTAACCTGACAGACAAGTGGTGTAGTGATAGAGTCATCAGCAAATAGTCTAATTACTCTCACGTCAGGATTTTCTGTGCAGTAGAAAGGCTTTACATTACACAACTGGACACTATCTACGACTTACTCATGCTAAAGCCTTCAACTTCCTTGAAATAAAGATAGCCTCCTTTGCAATTTTTAGGATTTTGGCTTATAGAACATTAGCGTGGAAGTGGAAATGATATTTAATTTGGACCAGGAAATCTAGATTCTGTCATTTTAAATAAGTGTTTCATACTTGGTCTATAACATAACTTGTATGTTGATCCCTTTTTTTTTTTTTTTTTGTGAGAAGTGGGAATAATACTGAGAGAAGACCTATTCTGTCTTTTTAAAGGATGTTTATAAAGATTAAACAATTTATGTATATAAGCAGTTCAAAAAGTACAAAGTATTATGCATATTTCAAGTATTACAATAATGATTCCACATTGATTCATAGTATCACAATCATGGCTAGAAGGGACCTTGGAGGTATTTCTAGTCAATATCCAATTTTATGGCTGTTCTTTCTAGTTCAAGTTCTTTAATCTTTCAAGTTTAGAGCAAACTGGAAAATGAGTACTTCTCAGAAATGTACAGTATTATGACATTTCAGAACATACAAGATAGTTCAGTTTAGCTATTATAGGATTGGTAACTTCAAACTAGTGAGTCATTCATCATCCCATTATTTCTAATAATAACATTAAATTTCTTTTGTGTAGATTGCAATGATGTTGACATGTTAACTGTAACTTGTGTACTTTTAAAAATGTTTTAATACTAAAAGATTTACAAGGATTTTGTTTTCTTACATGAAAGTGTAGTTTCTGTCTTCTTTGTGTATTTTTCTGGTTTCTGCTCATACCTTCTTTTCCTCATTTTGGTGACTTTTAACCTTCCTTTAATGAATTTATTAACTTTATTTTCACAGAACTGGTTCATTGCCTCGTTCTTCTGAACAGTTGCTGGGACACAAAGAGAGTTCCCGGGACTCAATGACTCAATTGCTCGATGCTAAAGAATTGCTCAGACACTTTACCCCAGATGGGTTACCAGCCGGCGAACTTCAGCCTTTGCCAATTCAGAAGGGGTAATTTATGAACTTGAATTTGTTGCTTTTTTTTTTTTTGAGAGGTTTTTTTTTTGGTGGTAATTATGTTAAATTAAGAGTGCATCTCATTTTCTTTGTTTACTGATGTCCAGGGTTACCTAGGCAACATTCCTAAAATTGATCCCAGTGTTGGCTTAAACCCCCACGTTTAACCTGAGCCAAATTATCTATCATTTTGGGTATTCTGTGTGAAGCAAGAGTGATAAAATCCACCTCATGTTCTCTAAGGTTAATAATAACTTAATTCGTTTATAGTCCAAGGTAATACTTTCACAGGAAAAAGTAGAATTTAATTGATGAGAATTTTCCACATTCTCTTTGCTGTGTTGCTTGTTAGTTTTTTACTTTGCTACTGGTCGTCCTGAGATTTGGCAGCGCTGCTGCCAAGTAGTAAAGAAAGCCCAGGATTTTGACTGAAGGGAATAGAAAAGTGTAGTAAAAATGCTTTTAAATCTCTTAGGATAGCAGTTAAGGCCTCACTGTTCTGTGGATAACTGACATCTAATTTGACTTTCAAGACAGCATCTACTAAGTTAATAACTGCTCTGTTGCTAGTATAGGCTGAAGAATTGTTAAAACTGTGTCGTTTTAATGCCTTTTAAAGGGAATTAAAAACCTTGTAAAGAACCTTAACATTTACTGAGCACTCTGGTCACTTTTGAATTATACTTTGGTCGAGTTTGTCTTTGAAGGGAAGATTTACTGATGATGTTGTAACTCAAAAGAGAAAGCTCTGGTTGTTGGTAGGCAGTGGGACTGCCCGCTCAAAGGCGGTGCCTCTCTAGAGGTTCGAATCCCCCAGCAACTCCAAGAGAGAAACGTGGACATTCTCCTTCTGATTCACAGCCCCCCAAAACCAGCTGGATCATCAGCTGGGAATTGGTTCCATCTTGATGGCAGTGAATTTGAGGTTTTTTTAACTCAAAATTGATGTGTTGTTGTTGTTAGGTGCCGTTGAGTATGACTCATAGCGACTCTCTGAACAAAATATCTGAACCCTGTTCTATCCTGTTCCTAACACTTAAGGGCCCATTGCAGCTGCCACCATGTCAGTCCATCTAGTTGAAGGTATTTCTATACTTCGCTGACCCTCCACCCTTCCCAGCATCATGTCCCTCTCCAAGGAATAGCCCTTTCTAGCAACATGCACAAAGTATGAGAGGAGAAGCCTCATCCTTCTTGCCTCCAAGGAGAACTTGGGCTGCACGCTCTCCGAGACACATCTGCTTGTTCTCTTGGCCGTCCATGGGATGTTCGGTGCTCTTCTCCAACACCACAGCTCAAAGATGTCAATTCTTTTTCTGTCATCCTTATTTATTGTCCAGCTCTCAGATACATAACAAGTGACTGGAAAGACTATGGCCTGAATCAGACACACCTTAGTCCTCAAACTGACATTATTACTTTTCAAAAAGTTGTAGAGGTCACTAACTGCAGATTTCCCCAGTGTGTCTCCTTATTTCCTGATTGCTGGTACCAAAGGTGTTGATTATGGATCTGAGCAAGTTTTAATCTTGTCTCCATCCATCATGATTCTGCTCATTGGTCCAGTAGTAATGATGTTAGCAGGAAAATATGTAGAAGAGAATTCTACTTTCTGGAGCCAGGTGGGTTAGATGAAACCCTGAAATTTGGCCTTGAGATCATCTTTAACCCTTAAGCAAAAAAAAAAAAACCCAAAAAACAAAAAACCACCAAAAAAACAACCCTCTGAAGTCGTCTAATCTGGTTTTTAAAAAAGAATTAATTTTTAATATTTGATGGTGATTTTGGGAAAAAATAGCTTTGCACGTGGGTTCTTAACTAACAATTTCTATACATATTATTCTGAGAACTCTGGTGGCTGAGTGGTAAGGAAATGTGCTGCTAAAGCAAAGGTACACAGATCAAGTCCACCAGGTCCTCTATGGGAGAAAGGTGAGCAGTCTCATCCTGTGCACTTCACTGGCTTTGAAAACCTGCTGGAGGAGGAGATGTGGGTCGGCGCCTGCTCTGTTGACATACACATCAGCAACAACACACATAATATTCAATGCTGTTGACTACACTTTGCACATGTTATCTGCGTCCCTATTATTTTCGTTGAGTATTTTCAAGTAGTTGTGGGCTACTTCAGTGTTTGGGGAAATGCTTGCTCTTTTTCTCTGCTCATTTTGCAGTTATGTTGTTCATCTTTTTGTTGTATAGTTGTTGGACATTTTCTGTGCATTTTAGAGATCAGGCCCTTATAGGATATATCTTTCCCAAAGATAGGTGCTTTTGTTTTAGATAGTTTGATGTCCAGTTGCTTGATAGTGATGTTTAGGTCTTCTGTATCTTTCTTGACTGTGTTTATAGTTGTTTTGTTCATCGTCAAAAGTAGTGTGTTACAGTTTTCTGCTATTATTGTAGATCTGTTTTTCTCTTCAGTTCAATTTGAGTTTATTTTTAAAATTGTGATTCTCTTTAATTTGGTACTTAAATATTTATAGTTTATTCTATCTTCTTGGAGTGTTGACTTTTTAATCACTATATAGTATCCTTCTTTGTCTCATGTAATAAACTTTGACTTAAAGTTTGTTTTGTCCAATGCCACTCACTTCTACTCCCTTTTGGTTATTATTTTGCTGGTATTTTCTTAGTCATTTTTTAAAATTTATTACCTCCTTACTTCTTTGTGCCCAGGGCTTTTCTCTTTCAGACATTGTATTGATGGATCTTTCCTCCCTCCTCCCCCATTCTACCACTCTCTGTTTCTTGACTGGTGCTTTTAATCAATCTGCATTTAGGGTGATTATCAATAGGTAGGGACTAACCACGCTTTTTCCTTATACTTGTTTTCTCTATGGAGGTCACCATTTTAATTTGTTAATTTACTTTTTGTGTTTGGATTCTATTTTGTTGCTGTTGTTACTGATATTTTTGTGTTTCTGTATCATTTTAGCATTATGCTCCTTTGAGAACTATCTATATCAAATGGACAGCAGTACATTTATAACCTTTCTTTTGGGAATGAAAACATATAAGCAGATAATCTAGAATTTATAATGAACCTCAGTTAAGACTGATTTTGTGTGTTTATTATTCTTAGTAAAGATGTGGAACCTCCTCCCATGCCATTTTCAGCCTCTGAAAACATGGGAGGGCGTCACCTACTGGTCGGTTCAGACGCAATGGCAAAGGGTTGAGTTACTGTTAGTCCTTGTACCACATACAGTGTTGTAGTGTGTATTTATAAGTTTATGTGCAGTATTTCCAGTCTCCAAAGACAAAGCCCAGCTTTCTAAAGATAGTAATTAACAATAGGCAGTATAACAACAAGCAAAGCAAATGGGAAGTCTGACTTAATCTGTGAACCAATCCAGCATGAGGCATCATTGCAAAACAGAACTGAGTGAGTTGGTGACTACCTGAATACACATTTGCACTTGTTGGCTTATTGGGCTCCTGCCCTTGAACTACAGGCACTGAGAGGGTCACATGGGTTTGCTAAGTAGAATTTCATTATAGTCAAAAAGTTTGTACCTCATTTGGGAGAGATTGGATATAATTATATAATGCTAACTAAATAAGGAGGACCTGAAGCACCTACTGCAGAGGGTCAAGGACTGCAGCCCTCAATATGGATTGGGGCTCAATGTCAAGAAGACAAAGATTCTCACCACTGGACCAGTTGGCAGCATCAGGATGAATGGTGAAGAGATTGAGATTGTTCACAGCTTTAGTCTGCTTGGTCTGCTTGGTTGGCTCCATGGTCAACACTCTTGGCACCAGCAGCCAGGAAATTAAAAGGCACATTGCCATGGGAAAGTGCTGTTAGGGACCTCTCCAAAGTACTGAAGAGCAATGGTGTCTCTGGAGACTAAGGTGTGTCTGGTACAGGCCATGATCTTCGCAATCAACTTGTTGTGTATGCATCAGAGAGCTGGACAATGACCAAGGAGGATGGAAGGAGAATTGATGCCTTTGAGCTGTGGTGCTGGAGAAGAGTATTGAGAGTACCATGGACTGCTAGGAAAACAAACAGATTCATCCTGGAAAGGGTTAAATCAGGTGGCTCCTTGGAGGCAAGGATTCTGAGGCTCCGTCTAACATACTTTGGACATGTTGTAAGGAGAGACCAGTCCATGGAGAAGGATATCATGCTTGGGAGGGTGGAGGGACAGCGCAGGAGGGGAAGACCCTCTATGAGGTGCCTTGATTCATTGACTGGGGTAATCGGGATGGGAGTGTCAGAGACAATGTGATTGGCACAGGACAGAGCAGAGTTTAGGGCTGTTGTACATAGGGTCACTATGAGCCGCAAGCGACTCGACAGCACATAACAACAACAACAGCAACAAATAAGTGTCTCATCATCAAATGTGTCTTTTGTGAAACACTAGAGTTGGAGGATGAACTTCATGGCCATGAGTTCAAGTTCCTGTTAGGCTCGTTTAAGTGAAGTACTGTGGAGTCGGCTTCAGCCAGAGTTGCCTAGTTGTGCACCATCCTCTGTGGCAGCCACTGTCAGTCCATCAGTTTGGGGATCTTCCTCCTAATTTGAATAGCTTCCAACTTGAGAACTTAGTCTTCCGGCACCATAGTGGACAATGTTTTGTTGCGATTCATAGAGTTTTCAAGGACTCCTTATTTCAGAAGTGAATGGCCAGCTTGCTTCCTAATCTGTACAGTCTGGAAACTCCAGTGATTCTTGTCGAACATGGTGACCCAAGTACCTAAGAATGTGTTGAAGGTTTTCCTGTGTAAAGAGAGATGTGTCCAGAATAATATACATTAAAGTTTATATGTATATGCCAAAAAACTCCTGATTTACTAAACTGTTTATTTTAGAATGATCAAAGGATATATCGAGTTAAAAGAAAAAGAAATAAAATTGCCACGAGAGATTGAAGATTCTCCAAGAGTTCTGTATTACAGATTTAGTCTCTTTAATAATTAGTTATCTCAATTCTTGGGTCATTGTAATTTATCAGTGTCCCTCTTAGTGGAATACCTTAAGTGGGTACGTTAGAATAGAAATTCTGTTTTCCAGGATTCATTAATTAGCTTATCTCTTACATTTTAATGCCATCATTTCAAGTTCTTCTCATAGCATGCTAAATAATATTCAGTGGCAAATGGGAAGCTTTTCATACAGTAAGGCTTTAGAGGAAAATGTGATAGCAAATTTATTCTTAGTACTCTTCTATTCTTGCAAGTCTGTAAATGGTTTCTGTGTCTTCTGATTTCAGGCTTCTATTCTACTATTATCTGTGTTAAAACTGCTTATTTTGTAATTCTTCCATTTCCTCCTAACCTATTCTGAGCTTTAGTTCTGCAGTCTTTTGCACTGGCCATTGATTTCCACCTGAAGCAGAGAAGGCAGGCATCTATCAGACTAACCTAGACAGCTTTATCTAAATGAACTGACCTGCTTCTACTAAGATTTTGTTACACTCCTGCAGGTCAGGTAGCAGGAGAAATTAAGCAGAAGTGTTTCTTATAAGCTCCTATCTGATGTATCCATGCTGCTGTATCTATCTGCTGGTTGGAAACCTGCTGCAGCATGAGAAGAACTGAAATTAGCAGTTCTCTGTATCTCAAGGAGTGGTGACATGGTGGTTAAAGGATTTGGCTGCAAACGGAAAGGTCAGTGGTTTGAACACACCAGCTGCTGTGTTAAAAAAAGATGAAGTCATCTCCTCTTGTAAAGATTTACAGCCTTGGAAGCACTTTGGGACAGTTGTGCTCTGTCTTGCAGGGCACCTGTGGGTCAACGTTTGATTCTGTGGCTTCGAGTTTTAGTGAGAGCCATAGTGGTGGTGTGGGTAAATGCTTTTGGCTGCTAATCAGCAGGTTGGCAGCTCAAGCTACCACCTGCTCTGTGGGCACAGGACGGGGCAGTCTGTTTCCATCCAGATTCACACCCTTGGAAAGCCGGTGGGCAGTTCTGTCTTACAGGGCGCGTCTGAGTTGAAATGGATTTGTTGCAGTGCATTCTTCAGTTTATACCTCTAGTACAGGAGCCTGGTGTTGTGGTCCAGGACGAACGTGAAGGCAGTTTGAACTCACCAGCCTCTCTGAGAGAAAGACAGGCGCTCCGTTCTGTGAAGATTTATAGTCTAGACACCCTGTGGAGTAGTTCTCCTCCGTCTAGATGGCTCCCTGTGAGTCACAATCAGCTTGAGGTCAGGGAGTTTATACATCTGATATTTATACTGGAAATAAGGAGGTGCTCTGCCCTGGGGAAATCTGCAGTTAGGGACCTCTCCAAATTATTGAAGAGTAATGATTTCAGGTTGAGGACTAAGGTACATGTGATTCACGCCATAGTCCAATCAGTTGCTATTTATCTGAGAGCTGGGCAATAAATAAGGGTGACAGAAGAAGCCTTTGAGCTGTGGTGTTGGAGAAGAGAGCTCAACATCTGTGGATGCCCAAAAGATCAAGTATGTCTGGGAGAGGGTACAGCCAGAGTGCTCTCTGGAGGCAAGAATGATGAGGCCTCTCTTTACTTACTTTGGGCATGTTGCTAGAAGGGGCTCTTCCTTGGAGAAGGACATGATGTTGGGAAGGGTGGCAGGTTGGCGAAAGAGAGGAAGACCCTCAACAAAGTGGATTGACACAGTGACAGCTGCAGTGGGCTCTTGTGTGTCAGGAAGTGTGAGGATGGCACAGGATAGAACGGCAAGAACAATGCTTAAGAACATTTCAGGAAAACTACATGGAATTGAGTGAGTTTTATCACATTTTAGAGTTGTTTCTGTTAGGTGCCATTGGGTCGAGTATGACTCAGCTTTATGAACAACCGATCTAAACTCCGCAGTTGCTGTGTCAATCCACTTGGTTGAACGCCTTCCTCTCTTTTGCCATTCCTCCAACTTTCCAAGCACGATGTCCTTCCCCAAGGAATAGCCTTTCCTGGCAACATGCCCAAAGTATGTGAAGTGAAACTTTGCCATCCTTGTCCCTAAGAAGCACTCTGGCTACACCTTCTCTAAGGCATACCTGTTCATTCTTTGGCAGTCCATGGGATAGCCAGTACTCTTCTCCAACACTACAACTCAAAGGCATTAATTTTTTTTTCCTGTCATCTTTTTTCATTGTCCAGCTCTCAGATTGCAAAAAGGTATGGCCTGAATAAGGCACACCTTAGTCCTCAGACTAACATCATTGCTCCTCAATAGTTTGGCAAGGCCCCTGACTGCAGACTTTCTCAGTGCAAAATGTCTCCTGATCTCCTAACTGCTGGTAGCAAGTGTACTGATTATGGATCCAAGTAAGATGAAGTTGACGGTTTGCATCTTTTCTCCATCTTGATGTTGTCTATTGGTCCAGTGATGAGGACTTTTGTTTTCTTGGTGTTGAGATACACTTCATATAGAAGGCTGTCTTCTTAGAACTCCTACTTCAAGTACTCTTCGCTTTCAATAAGCAAGGTTGTGCCAACTACATAGTGAAGGTTATTGAGGAGTCTTCCTCCAATCCTGATGCCACATTCCTCCTCATAGAGTGGATTAAGTGTTACAATTTCATTAGTCCCCTGCCAAAAATAAATAAAACAAATAACTAAATGCGTAAGAATTAGCTCCCTCCACCAAGGGCACAGAGATCTGGCAGGAAAAGTGCTGCTTCTGGGATTTTCATTCCAAGTAAGTTCTATTACAGATTTAACCATTTCTCAAACTTATTTGGGGAAATAACTAATATTATAACTTCAAAGACGTGAAACGTGAAAAATAATAAATAACCGAAAGCCTCAGCCTCAAATCTGTTTCCTGCCAGTCTTTGGCTTTCTGAGGTGATGTAACATTTATCTCATACAAGATCCATTTGCAGGATTCCGTTTTGGTTTTTTTGACATTTTATTTTTTTTTTTTAATTTCTCTCTTTGGTACTAAATAAAACTGAAATACAAATTGCTCCTTTGTGTTTCAGGGAAAAAACTTTTATTCTGACGCCAGAACTCAGTCCCCGGAAACTTCGAGTCTTACCCTTTGAAAAGGCCTCAGTGTGTCACTATCATGGACTTGAGTAAGTTTATACTGTGTCTCTTCAGTGTGTTTTTCACGTTGCTTCTCTCAGTGGCTGGTGAAGGGTGACTATAATAGAATAGTGAGCTGAGACTTGGAACAAGAAAATATGTCTGCACCCTCAAAAAACAGTGATGCATATACAAATAATACCTTTTATGAGGTGGAAAAAACACAACAAAACCCACCAAAAAGTAGTGGAAGATCAAGTCATTTTAAAAAATATCTTCTTATTACTTACTAAGTCACTATGGTGGCCTACTGGCAAGAAGTTGCACTGCAATCTCAAAGGCACGCTGTTCGAATCCACCAAGCTTCTCCACGGGAGAAGAATGAGCAGTTTGTGTGATTAACTGCCTCTAAAAACCAGCTTATGGGTCAGTTCCAACTCGGTGGCAGAGTGTGCAGTATGTTTTACTACTAACCAAAAGACTGAATGCTTGTAAGTTCGAATCCGCTGGTGGCTTGATAGTGGGAGAAAGATACACCATGTTCTCCCATTAATGTTTACACCATCAGATACCTGAAGGAGGATCACTGTGAATCAGAATCAATTTGATGAGGTTGAGTCTTTGAATTTGAGATTATTCGTACGTATTTTAATAAAAATAATTTTCCAACATTTAGAAAAAGTTTTGAGTGAAAGTTTACAGAGTGGACTAGTTTTCCATTCAGTAACCGATCCTGCTTTGTTCGTGGTGGTGATCACTCTCCGTACACTGGACCCGGCCGCACTCTGACACATTTTTCTCCCAGTGTTTCTTGTTTCCTCTTCCCCCTCCTGTCCCAGCGGCCTTCTGAGCCTTATACCTGGACAAAAGATTCTCTTTTGATCTTTGTTTAAATAATTTTTCCTTATGTTATAAGTACATGTTTACAGTAGAGGTCCTATTAATGTTTATGCTCACTAAAATGGCATTGTAATAGTCGAGTAACTAATTTAACTAAACTTGGCATTTTCTTTGTAGCATGTTTATTATGCATATATTTTTATTGTTTCATTGGACTGGTTAAGGAAAAGCATTTCAAGGCTTATCTTCTACTTAAGGGTATTGGCAATTTCTGAGATTAGGTACACATCAGCTATTTTCATTTTCAGAAAGACAAGAAAGTGAATGAAGATGATGTAGTTTACAATACATTTTAAGTCACCAGCGGTTTCATTTTATGTTTAATATTGTAAAGTAAAGCAGTCTTTTGTATATTAATTTGTGTAACTGAAAATAGGAGTGGATTGATTTTTACATTCTTTTTTAAGAAACTCCTGAACAATTCTGGTTTGGCTGGCTTGTAACAGTAATCATTTGCATAGATTTTTTTAAATAAACTTTTTTATTTGTGACTTTAACAAAAGTTTACAGAAAAGTTAGATTTTTCATTTATTCGTTGTTGTACTTTTTACCACCTCTCCCTCCCAAGTTTACTTTTTTTAATATTCATTTGTTGTTGCTCAATTACCGCCATCCCCAGCCTTGTAATTCTGAGCTGTTGTTGTACATACAATGTCTAATCATATATTCCTTTTGAATATTTGCAGATTTTATCTGCTATCCTGATACTCGTATTAAGAGCTAAAGATAGAAAGGACAGTCAGTCAAGTATTTCTGCCCTTCAAAAGCATGTGCTCTACTTGGACAGAAAGAGTCACATGAGTTTAGTAGAATATAAGCAGTGCTATAATGTGCCTATATAACAATGTTTGGGGAATCCAGTGAGTAGAGCAAATAAATGCCAGGTCCAATTTGACAGTATTTCAGAAAGAACATATAAACTGCGTTTGAATGAATGAGTAGGTGTTTACTTGGCAGAAAAGGGCAGAAGAACAGGACTCAGGTGTTGAATTTAGGAAGAGGAAATTACATTGTTAGTTGTTTTTTTTATTTTATTCTTTTGTGTGTGTGTACCGTCAAATCAGATCTGACTAGTACAGGAGGAGATTTTTCCTCCTTCTCCAGCAGAGCATCTGGTGGATTCGAACCGCGTAGGCCACCAGAGCTCGCCTCATTGTTAGTTTTGAGTAAAAGATGCACTCTCCTCTTTGATGTTAATAATTTCTGACTTGTATCAACCCTGCAGGGCAGATCTGAAAGATTTTCCAAGGCTGTAAATCTTTATGAAAGCAGACTACCCTATCATTCTCCCTAGCCTGACTGGAGAGTTTGAACAGCCCATCTGTAGATAAGCAGTCAAGTATTAACCGTTGCACCACCCTGATTCCTTTAGACTGCCCTACAAGGAGACCAGATCCTGAAGTCATGAGCGTCATTGTCTCCATGGCATGGCAGGGAGAGAGATTTCTATTTCTATTTCTGAGATGTTAAAAATATCTTTGATGCTGGGTTGTTGTTTTGTTTTTTAAGCTTGGACTCTGTTATTGAATGAACTCACATCATGACTGGATTAGTTAAATAAAAATATTTAAAACCAGATATGTTGAGGTACTAAGATACAGGAGAGTCAAAATAGGAAGAATTAGACAAAGAACAAATGGGAACTTGAAACCAACTAGGTTTTGGGGGAAAGCAACGAGGACATGGGTGGACTCCCGTGAGAGGTTCTAGTGTAGACACATTAGGTGACTGTTAGGACAGGAATAACAGGACATTTGAGTCATGTGGGCACTGTTTAGATTTCTTGCCATGTTTAAATACAATGTTGTTGTTGTTGTTATGTGCCGTCGAGTCGCCTGCGACTCATAGCGACCCTATGTACAACAGCCCTAAACTCCGCTCTGTCCTGTGCCAATCGCACTGTCTCTGACACTCCCATCCCAATTATCCCAGTCACTGAATCAATCCACCTCATAGAGGGCCTTCCTCTCCTGCGCCATCCCTCCACCCTCCCAAGCATGATGTCCCTCTCTAAGGACCGGTGTCTCCTCACAACATGTGCAAAGTAAGTTAGACGGAGCCTCAGAATCCTTGCCTCCATGGAGCCACCCAGTTTAACCCTCTCCAGGACAAATCTCTTTGTTTTCCTAGCAGTCCATGGTATTCTCAATACTCTTCTCCAGCACCACAGCTCAAAGGCATCAATTCTCCTTCTATCCTCCTTGGTCATTGTCCAACTCTCTGATGCATAACAGGTGATTGCGAAGACCATGGCCTGTATCAGACGCACCTTAGTCTCCAGAAAGACACCACTGCTCTTCAGCACTTTGGAGAGGTCCCTAACAGCAGACTTTCCCATGGCAATGCACCTTTTAATTTCCTGGCTGCTGGTGCCAAGACTGTTGACTGTGGAGCCAAGCAAACTAAAGCTGTGTAGAATGTCAATCTCTTCACCATCCATCCTGATGCTGTCAGTTGGTCCAGTGGTGAGAATCTTTGTCTTCTTGACCTTGAGCCTCAATCCATATTGTAGGCTGCAGTCCTTGACACTCTGCAGCAGGCGCTTCAGGTCCTCCTCAGTTTCAGCAAGCAGGGTTGTGTCATCCGCATAACGCAGATTGTTGATAAATTGTCCACCAATCTTGACCCCACATTTCTCCTCATAGAGCCCAGCCTTCTGGATAATCTGTTCTGCATATAGGTTGAAAAGGTATGGAGATAGGATGCATCCCTGGCATACGCCCTTCCCAATTTTGAACCATGCATTGTTCCCTTGCTCTGTTCTTACGACTGCCTCCTGGTCCAAGTATAAGTTCTGCATTAGAACGATCAAGTGTTCTGGGATTCCCATTCTTCTCAGAGTCAGCCACAGTTTGTTATGATCTACACAGTCAAATGCCTTTGCATAGTCAATGAAACACAGACATTCCTCTGGTAGTCCCTGCTTTCAGCCAAGATCCATCTAACATCAGCCACAATATCTCTAGTACCACGACCCCTTCTGAAACCAGCCTGGACTTCTGGTAGTTCTCTGTTGATGTGCTATTCCAGTCATTTTTGGATAATCTTCAGTAAAATCTTGCTTGCATATGAAATCAGTGAAATTGTTCTGTAGTTTTCACATTCGGTTGGGTCGCCTTTCTTTGGGATAGGAACAAATATCGATCTCTTCCAGTCAGTTGGCCAAGTGGTCATTCTCCAGATTTCTTGGCACAACTTGGTGAGCACTTCCAGGGCAGCATCTGTTAACTGAAATATTTCAATTGGTATACCATCTATTCCTGGAGCCTTATTTTTTGCCATGTCCTTCAAAGCAGCCTGAACTTCTTCTTTCATCGCCATAGGCTCTTGCTCATATGTTGTTTCATGAAATTCTTCTGTGTCTTCCTATTCTTTTCGATACAGTGACTCAGTATATTCCTTCCATCTTCTTTTAATACAATACGGCTCTTTAAAAAGAATGTTTTACTAAAAGTCTGGTACTGGAGTCAACATTCAGTTTCTTTATTTTCTGGCATTAGAATGAATCTCCTCATTAAAAATCAGTCACGAGAAAAAGATACCCACTGTTGCTGCCTTTTTAAAAACTATAGTCCTCTATGTTTTAGTTGATAAATTGAAATAAGGATACCTGCAAGGGGATTACACAGGGATAATGGCACAATACCATTTAAAGTAAAGTTATTGGAGACAGTCTAGAAGTCCACCATTGAAGCTTGGTTTGACAAATTTTGTTGTTGGCAAAGTAAACTTTAACACACATATAAGATGAATTTTAACAGGCCTTTAAAATAAAAATTTTTGTAGCTGTCATAGTGGCTAAATTCCAAGAAGATTTGTAACACTAAATATTGGCAAATGTGTAGAACAGACAGAATTCTCAAGCATTATTGCTGGAGTTTACAAAGGATGTGTTAATTTCTTGGCGAGCTCTGGTGGCCTAGTGGCAGGAAACTGCACTGCAATCCCAGAAGTGCACGGTTCAAATCCACCAGATGCTCTGCTAAAGAAGGAGGAACAGTCGCCTCCTGTACCAGTCAGATCCAATTTGACGGTACACGCATTAAAAAAAAACAAACAAAAAAAAAACAACAAAGGATGTGTTAATTTCTTATAAAACTTAATGAACGTCACAGTTTTGAGGGAAATGTCAGAAAATAGCCAATACCAC